AATTTTTGTTTAAAAGATAGATCCAGTTGTTTATAATTCGAATGAGTGGTTCTCACAGAAATTTTGACCGGTTTGTTGAAGCGAAAAACTGAAACAAAACTGTTTCTTACATTTCGAAGAAGATCCAGAATTTAGCCTAAAAGCATACAAATATAGACTTACATGTACACGAATACACAGATCGTTTTCACAGTCAACTTGTCGAATTCATTAAATATGCATATATTAGCAGTGTAAAGTGCCACAATGACTAAAGTGAACAGTAGAACTCGATGAACAGAGCATGTTGTAAGCTTTGCTTTCAACTGGTGGATATCGTATATTAGTGAGTGATACTCGAAAGCAAAGCAACCATGCCGAAAGACCCCGAAAAAGCGTAGGGAGCTGAAATCGAGATGCATGCTGCAGAAATCTCGGAGTAATCCTGACGGTACTAACACAGGACCCTCATACCGATTTTCCGGAGCCTTGATATGTACATCGAGTTGTGAATAGATTGAAAAGTCAGAAAATTTCCTGGATTTTACGCTAATTTTACAAACGGACATATTCGCTACAATCGTCATTTGCGTGACAGCTTTTGCTGCGTAAAGCAAATATGCAAAATACGAGCCAACAGAACAAAAAGTCATTAAATAAATTGAAAGTAGACAAGGAAAAGGCTGTTGGTGAAACAGCGGTTTTCGCACTTTTTCACCGTTTCTGTTCGAATCGTATTACTTTCAATTTGGTCAAAATTACAAGGATTTTTTCACTGGTACAACAAATAAACTTTTGAGCGTATCGATTGGGTGGAAGAACTGACGAATCCTGGCTGGACCAAGCCACCAGCCTTTCACAAGGAATCCCCAGTACAGCCAAGGTAGAAGATAACGTTTCACCAGATAACCAACGTAAAGAGGCTTCCCCTGATCAATCGGCAACGTCTCCAGTGGACCAGCCGAATTGAACTCTGCCAAAATAACACGATTCATTGAAACGAGCAGTGGGCAAGATGCGTAACCGTCATACTGAAAAAAAAATCATTTAACAACAAGTTTAAATCGTTTCAGCCGCAGTGATTGCTTTGTAACTGATATAGCTGATAAACGGAAAATTTTATAGGAATAAACCAAGACTGCGACGCACCAGGCTTGCCAGTGCAATCAAGCATTTTTGTTCTAAATATAAGGCAGTCAGATCGTTAACAGCGAAAACTATTCCTTCGTTACAATTTAACTCGTGGACTCATGTCGGGTTTGTTTTGGCCTTTTCTTGCGTGCAGGAGGAAAAGAGCGTCGGCTGGAATAACACTGGTGCATTATGGGACCGTATGAACCTTCAGTTCGCTTGATCATCAATTTTGCATAAAGAGAATTAACAGTTTCTGGTGACTGGTCGTTCGTCGGAAAATACAAATATGACAATGTTGGAAGAGAATGATTAAAAAATCAGAAAAATGCGCTTGCTTTTGAAGTTGCGATAAAAGTGAGTGTCTACACACTTTTATAGAGAATTTAGCTTCTAAACTTAATTTAGACCAAGCTTGCAAAGCTTCAACCCCACAGCTAGTGCGATAACGAAATCACTACTTCGCTGCAAATATCTTTGATCTGCTGCAAGGTTTGACGCAAGTGCAAATCAAAACTTGAATTAGGTATACGACTTCCCTTACGGGTGATAAATATTCTGACAAAATTACAGCTAAAAATTTCCTGCTAGTTTACGAGTTGGCTCAACGCCAAGTGCGAACTTTGACATGACCATGCACGCATTGCAAGCGTGCGCGATAAAAAATTTTGAAATTTTTAGCTCA